CGTCCGGCCTCGGAGGTTCTGGACAAACTGGCATTGACACTAGCTAATTATTAACAAATTATTTACATATTAAATTCTTATTGTTATTAAAATTCACAAGATAAGTACCTGTAGCAATCCCAAGCATGTCCAGTTTTTGGCTCTGCTTTAGCTTAACAATTTTAATTATTATCGCTGCCTGTCAGATGTCCGATCCAAATAAAAGCCCAGGCTGTAAACCCCCCCCCCCCACACACACACACAAAAGAAAAACAAACACAGGACGACAGTTTTAGCACAAACAGCAGTTTAGGCAATCAATGAAACACTTGTTCTGTGCTAATCAGGTGTTAGCATGCTAGGCTTTGACTGTAATATTAGCGCTTGTATATGCAACACTCAGTACGCTAACATGTATGTACAAACACTAGCACAGCAGGATGTTGGTGTAAAGCAGAAGTAATCTATTCAAGGCAAAATAAAGGATAAAGTATAGAAAACTACTATGATTATAAAATATACTTTTACACGGTACAGAGATATTCTAGATTGTCCACAAACCAAAGTTACCCTGTTATCTTTGGCTAATCACTGCCAACAAACCAGCAAATTCACTCTTCTTCACACACACACACACACACACACACACACACACTGCTTAGAAAAAACCCTCAGGTATATTCGTTCGACAGGACCAACCTTTGAAACTCACTTCCTTCCAAATCTTCCCATGAAATATGAAAATAAACAGACATTTTCTCATATTTAACAAAATTGCATTGAACAGTTAAGATTATGACACATTATTAAATCATAACATTTAACCCTGATAAACATTTCTTAGATTGGTGAAACCACCAGCTTCCTTCAAAGGTGCCTGCAGTCATATTGGCTCACAGCAGCCCTTGTGACAAGACAACAGAAACCTTGATATCTTGATATTTAATCATCCTCTCTGATCTGAAAATCTACCTGAACGTCATCACTGATAATCTGACAGGCTGGAACAAAGTCTCAATTACACGTTTACAGAATTAAAAGTACAATAATTAGACTGAATTTGCAGCTAACAGCTGACGTGTGGTGATATGTACCTGTACTCATTCATGTACCGTGTTTGTGTAGTGTCATCAGTGTTGTGTTTTCACAGATTTCAGATGCAACAGCTCACAAGAATATAGTGTTTTTACCTCCTGTGTGATAAGACTGATAGTTCTCTCATGTCTCTAATGGATATGAAATTATTGCCAGAATGTAGTTAGCTTAGCTAGGCCAGGCTAAAAGATTAGAAATAGAGCCAGTCTAGAAGAGTCTACTTCCTGGTATTTCCACCAGGTGAGCAGTAGGGGGCGATCGTGAGCCAATCCTGAATATGTAAATGAAGCTCAACAGCTAACACGTTTATTTACACCTGTTTAAAGACAAAAAGCCTATTTTTATTTTAGTATTTCTAACACAACACTGATAATATGCCAGATTTGATATGAAACGACTCTTTTATTTCTCCTTTGATTTTGATTTTTTCTAAATTATGCATCGGTCGTTTAAGGACGGGGCGTACTTTCTCGATGGTTGTGGGAAGCGTAGCTTAACAACAATGGAAACTTCCATTGTATATAAGAAGCTACTGGTTGCGTCACACTTCAAAAGCTGTAAAGCTTTCTCAGATTTACTGCAACACAAAACTGTAAAAACTCTTAAAAAATAAATAAATAAATAAAAGAATATCTGTTGGCTCAAAGACGACTTTTAAGAACATCATGGAAACTCGCCAAAGAAAAATGCTTTCTCCAGTAGAACTGGTCTTTTTCTTCATCTACATAGAGCTCCACTGATTACGGAATAACTCATGAGCGCCCCCTACGCTCTCTGAGAAACAAGGGAAAATGGGTATCCTGGTTAACTGGACAAGTTGTTATCTCAGGTGTGCTGGCAGATTTGGAGATTTTACTTCATAACATTTGAAACTGAAGTACAATCGTAATCATTTCTATGCAAAACTCCCAACATTCCCAAAATTCCCAACCATTTGCTGCATGTGGCCTCTGTGTGGATTTGTTACTTTTCTTTGTCCCATGTTACACAAAGAATTTATTTGATAAACTGATGGATGACGATGAAGCCGCAGGATTTCTGAGGGACAAATGTTTTATGTTTTTGGTCCGTTACATATAAAAAAATAATTATCTGTGTTAAAAATATAACTCAGTACTCAGACAGGTGTTTATAAACTTTACTTTCATTATTTCATTATATTCAAATTTGAGTTATGTTTAAAAATTCAAAAGGTTGTTTTCAAATAATGACTTTTACAAACAATAAATAAATAACTGGTTCAGTTTGAATGTTTACTGAAAAACATACAGATGGATGAGCATAAAGGTGTTGGTGTGCGGTTTTTCATTTAGTGTTGAACAAAGAGCCAAATTGGATATTTTGTATCATGTCTTCACAAATAAATATCAAATTGAAAATAATGTCATAGACGTCTTTGTGTTAACGGAATAAAACGAACCTGGATCTGAGAAGTTCGTACATGGTGTGGACGGCCTGCTGTTTGTATTTGTCCTTAAATATAAAGTCAGTAAGTAATTGTGTTAAATAATCGTGATCTCCATATTTACCAAAGTAACTGCGCGCTGACAGATTTGTTACCAGTGGAGCGCTCTCAGGGCTACGGTAGATATGATACATCTGTCCTGTTTGATTTCCACGTCTGACCCACGTATTTGAAACACAGAACATTATGATTTTGGACTTAACTCTGCAAGACGAGAGAAAGAAAACCAACAAATCCGACACTCGACACTCTGAACCCAGGATGTGTTCTGCACTGCAGCTTCAAAAATCATAATATTCATCATCAATTTATAGATGAATCATCGGGACTGGAGAACCAAATGTGAGAAGTGTGCGAAGTGGAGATTCAGCTGAACACAGTGCTGCACAGAGACTTGCGAGGCCTCTCGATGGCGCCGCATTTATTTACACTCCGAGTCTGTGGGAGTGCGTGGAGATTAAAACGGTAAACCACCCAGGATACGCCAGTGAAACAACGCTGTGTTGAAACAGCATCTTAGAGGATTTAGAGGCTGTTTGATCATAAAGGTGCAGAAATCCTCTAACAAGCTTAGAGCGAGTTTTGTTGTTTCACACAGTCGACTTTGACATTTTATGGCACAGAAACAAAGGCGGTCAACTAGAAAAGGAGCAGAGACACGTTTCCACAAGGCAACACATCCAGTGGTGTGATATTTGATGCTGGTCGCAGGCGGTCTGGTGTGTGAAGGATCTGACCAGTTCATCGTGCGAGTTTGAAGCTCATGCAGCTTTTTAGAGTCTATGTACTCGTTCAAAACCGCAGAGAGTCCTTTGATTAGAGGCTCTCTGCAGACGGTTGTGTTGCCGAAACTGAGCTCAGGAACGCTGACCGTCTCCAGGACTGGAATGATCATCATCATGTGTTCATTTAGCCTTTTCTGCAGAGAGCTTTCTCCCTCTGAGCCCCAGTTTTGGATCTGACCACGCTTTTTTTCTGCTCTTCGGTTGTTTTTATAAACCCAGATGCATTTGAAGAGCTCTGACGCATCATCAAATGAGTCAGAACTTCCTATCAGATATTA